AGCCTTGGCCTCAGGAGTAAACCTGAAATAGGATTTAATGAGCTAGTTTAAATGTTTTAATAATGCATTGTTGCATTAGGTAACATATTGATGGTAGATGAACTAAACCACGTATTCGTTTTAATTATAAGTAACTACTGTTGAGGTGAAATGTTTCTACCTTTCAGGGTCAAACTTGTCTGGGTCAGGCCAGTATTCGGGGTCCATCTGTATGGCGCCTACTGGGATGTTCACGATCATGCCTTTAGGGATTTCGACATTTCCAATAGTGACATCTCGACTGGCTATTCGGTCAATTCTAAAACAAAACAAGAGGAATACGTAGCATAGTTTGATATGTCAGCCGTACTGAAGTCAACACGAACAAATTGACAGTTATTTTCTATAAGTATTATGACTGTTCACTTAATTGTCATTTTCGTTATGTTAAAAGAAATAAATCAAGTTTTACTGCAGAAAAAAAGTAAAAAAAAACACATATGGTATAAAAGCCACATGTATATGGACAAAAAGTTGTGTGAATGATGCATCTGTTTTAAAAAGAGAATACATTCTGCTCCTCATCTCTAAAGGCCGCCCACTCCCCATGTTTATTAGTAGGCAGGGTTTCGATAAATCGAATCACATATCTTTTCCTGATCAATGTATTGACCAATTAAATTGAAGTAAGGTAATTCGAGTTATGGACAAATTTTGAAAAGCATCGAACTAAGTCTACGTCTAACTGTTGTAGATTTGTTAGCCATGTTTCATTGAAATCCAATGATAATGTACTGACCAATCTGATCACGTGATGCTACCTATTATGTAGATATGCATAAGTCTGCTCCAGCTAAGGCTTCGGCTACGTACGTGACAGCGAAAAAATCTTCACAGATCAACGGATAAAACTTATAAAATAGTTAAGCATATCTAGAGAAACTATTTTACCACTGATGAGCAGTATTGTTTTATGAACCTTCACATGAAAGATATAATCATTATACGACTGTGGTTTTCAATTCATGTTTGTTACTGGCATATCCCTAAACTCATTATCAGTATGTTTGTGAACTTTGCACCTTTTTGAAGACAGACGCACAGGTATCTCTCACACAGCACGTAATTATGAAACACACAAAGAGGCACAACACATTCTTCAGTCGGTAACACTAATATTATATTACATTTCGTTTTGTCTTTTTAAAAATGATCATATAACTTCATAATTGCATGTAGTGCAACACTTTATGCTCTCACCTGGATGCTGCAGGAAAGATTCTCATAGTTTCCTCGATCACCATTTCCATATAAGTAAGTGTTTTGATGTTATCATAATCGGGGTTTTCCTAGAACAGGTAACAAAGACTCCTTTAATTTCACATAAGAATATGAACTCTCTTTTGCATTGTACACGTGATTTATGTTAAAGTTAATGATATGTGCTCCCTTACACAGTATACAGTAATAATAACTGGAACTGAAATTTAAATATCAGCACAGAAAGATCTTAAATCACCGCTTAGATAAATTGGGGAATGATTCTCAATTATAACAAGATGACAATAATCGACAAAACGCATTTTAGAAACACGTAGATCAACAGGTATCAAAGCAATAGTGTATACGTCACCTTTCCCAAGTTATCATCGACTTCCTGCATCACCCTATCACAGACGTCTGTGTGGATTGCCAGGTGGTAGAAAGTAAACATCAGGCTGTTAGAGGTTGTATCATACCCCGCAAGGAAAAACAGAAGTGCCTGAGACCTGATCTCCGCGTCTGTCAGCGCTGGAACACCACATAAAAGTTACCTTTATTATCAACAGAAGGATATTCAGAAAAATTACATCTAAAGAAAAAAATCGAGTTTTTTTTATTTATTTGATGCAATAACAAGGTAAGTGCAC